GCACTCTACCCAGAGGGACAGCTTGAGGCTCTGTCTCAAAAAAAAAAAAAAATAGGTAAAAAAAAAGAGTTTGTTGTATTCTGGGATCTTAGGTCTGGTTCTCAGCAGCAGACCCTGATATAAGGACTCAAGTACAAGGGAGTTACTAAAAAATAATTATTTAAGAAAAAGATTTATTAAAGAAATGGATATTTATAGGGGAAGTTGGTTAAGAACATGGGGGAGAATTGACATGCTCCACTAAAGACAATAGTATTGTGAAAAAATAATTCAATTTCACTATTAATGTAAGAAATGCAATCTACAAGAGTAAGATACTTTCCACCTACCACATTTGCAAAGATTTAAGAGTCAACATCCAGCTCTAGATTGGCTGTGGTGAAAGAAGCTTTTAAATACATCATTATTAGGGGTATGAATTGGTGCAGTCCTTTTTGGAAAAAAACATTTAGTAGAATCTATCAAAATTTAAAATCACGTGCCTTTTAACGTAATGATTCCTTTCCTAGGAATTCATCCTCTAGCCATATTCACACAAAGGCAGGCTGTCTGCTGCAACACTATTTGCAGAGGCAGAAACTAAAAACAACCAATAAGGGCCACCTAGTCAAACTAATATTATTTTCTGTTTAAAATGAGATACATTATACAACAGTACATATGGCATGGGGAGGTACCTGTGGGACAGTGGATATATTTGTTGCTATTTTTTGTGTGACCTTGTGCAAGTCATTTAACTTCTCTGTATCTCACTTTCTTCATATGTAAAGTGCATTTAAATAGTGTTAAAATGAGAGGGCTGCTGCAAAGATTGACTTAGTTGGTATGTATAAAGTATTTTGCCTAATGCCTGGCACATAGTAAGTGCTCAGGAAGTTACAGCATTGTTTTTTTATTATAATTTATTTTATTTAACAATCTAGGAAGCTCACAGCCATCAGCAGTTCCAGCGCGATTTCAGGTGCAACTGGGAATTCAGGAATCTCCGTGGAGCTGTTAGTGTAGCGAAACTTGTAGGTAAAATAGATGCATAGTTTTGATAGTATATGTGATGGGATTGCTCTAAAATTGACCTCATTGGTTTCATTCTCAGCAAACTGACCTGGGCCACTCAACATGGCTCTTATTGTTCCTGATGTTAGTGCAGGTTCTCTTTTTAGAATAAATTCATGACCATCAGAAGATACCAATTTAACATACATGGCATCAGGGCCTTCACAGCCACCATGGGTTTTCTCCTCTACATCCATTATGTTCTCAGGGAACATGTTGCTTCCCTGGGAATTTTAGTAGTTTTTCAGCAGCCCCACAGCCACCGCAGCCACCGCAGCCAGGTCCCAGCTTACTGCCACAGCCCTTACTCCAGGGCCTCCCCCTCCCCCGCGACCCCAGCTGCCTTAGTTATAGCATTGTTAAGAAAAAAAAAAAATTGAATTCAAGGGCGGCACCTGTGGCTCAAAGGAGTAGGACACTGGCCCCATATGCCAGAGGTGGCAGGTTCAAACCTAGCCCCAG